CAAAGAGATGGCTGAGGTTTGGGGAGGATGAAGCAAATCTGCTGTCGATATTTCTTCTGGAAGACATTTGTCAAAAAAAAAAAACATTTGAGGAGCATTTTGTTATATTTTATGGAACATTTAAGTCCAAAATTATTCATAACTCTGGCAGATTTAAAAGAACAAATTAATAATAATTTCAAAGTACATTCAAGAAAGATTCTTATGAACGACGAAAAAGAAACAACTGGGGAATTAATTAAATGGTAAAAAATGGACTGAACTTATATATAATTAAGTTAATAATTTATTCTAGAAAGATTGTAAAATTAATGAAACTTCATTTAAGATTTAAAGGAGCAATGAATCATCAAGAAAGAGTTTTATCATAATTAAATTCAACAAAAGATTGATATGAGATTAGAAAAAGAAATATACAAAGAACTAATTCTAAAAGAAATATGTAAGCAATAAAAATGAAAAAACAGGAATAGTAACTTAGAAAATTATATTAAAAAATGACGCATCCAGTGCAATAAAACTTGAATCTTGAAATAGATCTTGTTCTGAGTTTTTGTTTGAGTTAAATGGTCAATTGCTGATCAAGTGTTTATATATTAGTATGTTTTTGTTGTTGTTCAGGTATTCAGCAAACCATTGAGCAGGAGGAAGGGCAGAACAGATCGTCAGCTGACCTGAGGATACGCAAAACGCAGGTAGAGTTCAAGCAAACACCAAAGGCTTTGGGAAAACGTTTCTCTGTAATCTAACTGCAGCTGTTTTTCCTACCTGGATGAAGCATTTCTTCTTCTTCTTCTTCTTCCTCGCTTCCCCAGCACTCCACGCTGTCGAGGAAGTTCGTCGAGGTGATGTCAGAGTACAACACCACGCAGTCGGACTACAGAGAGCGCTGCAAGGGCCGCATTCAGAGACAGTTGGAGATCAGTGAGTAGATCCACTAATGCACACCGAGGACGGGCGATAAATGGGTTTATGGTGCTTAACGGTGTACTGTCAACTCCAACCATAGTTTCTTTTCTTGGCACTAAAACTCTCTAGAGCAGCTCAAATGTGAATTTGCTTTTCACTTGTTGCAATCATTCTCGTTCTGAAATGTAAAAGTAGGTTTTAACTGTGCTCTAATTGAAAAATAAAATCTGGACAGCAAAAGTATCAGTAGCTTGCATTTTGTTGAACTCGAATGCTAGAAAACCAGAGGAAGAGGGGTGAAGTGAAAAGTTTTAATGATGAAATAAAAGGACAAAAAAACAACAACTAAAATTGGGCCTTTTAAAAACAATGGAAATGGGATCAGAGACACAGGAACCAGGTGAGTAAAATTAGGAGAAAATTGATCAGAGGAGAAAACGACGGAGAGATCAGAGGAATCTGAATGAAAACACCACAGGAACTTGAACGTATAACCTGAAATATAACATAAACAAAGATTAAGAAAGAAGCTAAACACTAAGGAATGAACTATGACAAGGTCTAAATGATAAAGAATACAGAAAAAAGAAATGAAGTAAATATGGAAAGACATTAACAATGATAACTCAGAAATGATAAGAAAAAACTTCCTAAAAACACAAACACAGCTTGTTATTGTTGCAGAATGATAAATTAATACATTTTATATTATATATTTTGAGTTACACTAAGTTTCCTCCAGATTAAGTGTTGGAAAGCTTTTTTTTGTTGAGACTCTGAGCTGATGCCAAAAGCTTTAATCAGTTACTTTCTTCATGCGCCTCATTCGTAAATTTCCTTCCACAACCTCGTATTCAAGGTTCAGTTCACACGAAATAAAACTGAAATGACTTGTCTTTGTCGCTTAAGAACTTAATTACAGAACCAGAGGGCTCTTTGTTCTCATTTATGTCCCAAAATAATTACACAAAATAAAATACATAAAGCTGCTTTCATTCACACGAAGTGACTTTCAAATGTATCCACCTGTTTTATCGTTTGCATCATTTCACTCAGAGAGCATGTCTGCAACATTTCATTTTCTTTTTACTGTGAAGCAAACAAGTAGGAAAAATAGAAAACTTTAGTGTGCATAATTACTCTCTCCTCTAAATTCACTGCTTTCCGTAGACATCTGTTGCAGCAATTAATTACAGCTACAAGTCGCTCTGGATGATTCTCCATGCGCTCACTTCATCTTGACGCTGGGATCGTTGCCCGTTCCTCGAGCCGACGCTGCTCCAGCTCCTTCAACTTCCACAGCTTCCACTGGTGAACGATATTCAGCAAACTGCAAGATCACATTTTCTATCCTTTTGGAGATTTTTGCTCATTTACGTCGGAACCTAAACTAGAAGAAGTGTTCTAAATTTACTGCAGAAGTAAACAGAAATGGACAGAAAAATGCATCATTTCTCTTTCCAACCATCACAAGACCGATGGGCTTAATTTGGCAGGAATAGACGTAATAAAAGTTTCCAATTTAAAACGGCATATTGGGAGAAACCAGAGGCATTTTGAAGAGACCGTTCCTCAAAATCCTGAGTCAAGGACAACAAAAATACACGAACTGAGATTCTCTGATCAACCTGTAAGCAGGTTTCTGGTTACATCGTTGACACAACAAAAAGCAACAGAGAAAAATAGTTTTCCTGTTCACTTTGATTAGTAAGATCTTGATTTGTTTTTTTTTTAAGATTTCTACAAATCTGTTGATTTTCTGTAAAGCCGTTGAAACTTTTTTTATCTTATTTTACAACATGAGTTATTTAGAATATAACTGTAACGTGGTGAGGGGCTAGAGGGACCGACAACTTTTGACTCATTTTAAAATTTATTTTAGTTAACGTTTGAATTAGATCAGCTCTGGCTGAGACCTGAGGTGCATCCAGATGATGATCAGATGTTCATTTCCACGAGGTTTTAGCAGATCGTTGTGCTGGTTTGGTTTTATATCACTTTAATCTACTCCAGCGTAGAAATTTTATTTTGAAAATATCACACTGCAAAAACACAAAATCTTACCAAGAATTGTTTTCTAGTTTCTAATGCAAATATCTTAGATTACTTCTTTTTTTTTCCACGTTGTGAATAAAATAATCTTCAAGAGGAACTAGTACCTTTTTGTCAATGTTCAAAAATTATTGACGTAAAACAAGCTCCTATATCTTGCTGAAAAGTTACTTGTAAATTCGTTTTTCAAGTGATCTAAAATATTCGCACTGAAAACTCGACCAGAAATACTTGGCAACATTAAGATTTTTTCCATTTCGACTTTACTATTAATATTCCTTTTTGTCTTTTGTTTTATTCATTTCAACTTCTGTTTCATCATTTTGACTTTTTTCTTTCACTCTTCTTAAGTGTTGTGTGTTTTTTTGGACACTTGTGTTCAGTTTCCAGCAATATTCTAATAAACAAAATCCTAGGAGAGTGTGTTTTTCCCTCTACGGCAGCTCAGGTTTCACTTTCGCTTTTCTGTCATTTATTTGTGTCTCCCTGGCGCCACAACAACCGCTTTCAGAATCAAATCGCTTTTCATCGACACCCACACACACTTGGACACACTCAGCAGGTTACCGCAGCTCTCCTCTTCCCCGTTGCGCCGAATGCGTCAGATGAACTGACAGGTATTAAATGTAAGCCTTTCAATCGTGGACCAGATGGACGATTCCTCATTTAATACGTGATGCAGTCGCCTAAATGTACGCAAAGCATAAGTGCGTCCATACAGAGATGAACGCCGTGACTTATTTAGTGGTGATGGCTGAGGGAAGACCGGACGCATGCAGCAAGTTTATCTCCACTTTGTGCGCCACTTTCTAGACGACAGTGGGGCTCACAGCACTCTGTGGGCCTAGTCAAAGGACAAAAACACACCTCATGAAGTCAAACACCTGAGTCACTTTTTCCTTGAGCTCTTCCAGATGCGCTCGGGTTTGATTCGTCAGCTGCTGGAATCACAGGAGGCTTTCACTGTCGCCAAGGGAGGGATCACACACAAGCATCAATGGAAAAAAACACACACAGAAAGACAGGCAGCGCTTTGAGGACGCAGGAAATGTTAATTATTTACAAGTCTGAGGGAGGATTTTCCCCTTTCTTTTAATTCTGTTCATCTAAAGATTTAATTCCTTGCGTCGCTGCAGCTCCAACACCTCTGACTGGCTTTGTGTGTGAATCGATGAAATGTCACACGCTGAGGGAAACATTCGGTCTCGGTATCGATTCTGCTGCAGCTTCTCTCTTTTCCCGCTCACCTCCACTCCGGCTGATGGGTGCAGACATGAAAAGGACAAGAAAGAAACGCCGGGGCGCCCTGCGACCGTCGTGTTGGAGGATTTCAGCTCCACCGTGACGATGCTGCTATTTAGGGTTGTGAAGTCATCCCTCCGTCCATCCAAATAAATCTGTTTGTCGACTAAAACGTATGTAGAAATGCATATGTTGGTATTTTAGACCTGTGTGCTGTAAACAGCCAGGCCGACTGAGCCGAGGAGAGGTCGACCTCAGGCGTTGCAGGGTGTCTCTCTGACATTTGATTATTGTTTTCCATTTCCCATCGGACCGCTCCACTAGCTGCTCGCTCCGGCACAGGAAAATGACTCTGATGTGGTCAAACAAGGTCCTCCTCACCTGTATAGAAAATCTGACTTGAGCTGTAATGTTTCTTATAAGATTAACAAGAAAGAGTTACAAAATAATTCTAATTATGGATGGGGAAAATACAACCATGGAAAGCTTGAGGACCTTTTTTGTGCTCTCCGCTCCTGGAGGACGACGCTTCTGGTTCACCAGACACAGGAAATGAAATAGTGCAATTACTGCCAGCAAGGTAGTATTAAAGATTTAATAGCCTATGAACACTATGGGTGTAGTTATACTTCTCTGCTTCATATTGGATTTTTCAGGGTTTAGGTCTCCATGGTAACAATTAAGAGCCTCCCTTGGAGCTTGTAAGGGCTTTAAAGAAAACAACGACGTGTCTGCATGTGTGTGTGAGCTAACGCTTTGCACATAAAAAAAAATGTAATAAATAAATTGGAATTGTGAACTAAAATAGATTCTTAAGTTGTTTAGTGAAAGTATTTGACCACTTCATGCCACCTAAATGGAAGTTCATTGGTGTGAATAGAGTTGATTTGCTTCATAAATGTTTAGCCAAGTGGAGCTGAAGTCCTGTAAAGTTTGACTGATGCTTCATCTGTGTCCCATTTTCAATCTCCAACATCCTCAAAGTCTTGGTCACACGCACGGCTACGCACACACTCTGATGACGTCGTGGAAGGAGGCTTTTGTGGTTGCGCTCCTGCTGTTTGGAGTCTAACAGGGAGGAAGGAGAGCAGAGCAACCTGCCTGGACATCTGCATAATCTGAGCTTTCCAGAAACCCTCCACTTTTATGATTGTGTGGTGAAAAGGAAGAAATTTGGGGAAGGCTATAGTACTCGCTATTAATACCATAATCAGCTCACGCCGCCTTATGCTCCTCTTTATGGCTGTAAGCTCAGCTTGGCTCACTGTGAGGCTTTTATCACAGACTGAGTTGCGATAACTCATCTAAATGCTGATCATATTTCTACCAATGCAAAAGACAAGTTTAGAGAAAATCAATCTGTTGCTCTTTGGCAGAATAACTAAAAAATATTTAGGTTTTAACGCAGTTTTGAACTTTTATTAGATTTAATGGGGCGCCTTTCTTTTAGGAGATTATTTAAAGGGGCAGTATCATGTAAATTCGACTTTTTTGAGCTTTACATCATATTGCGTTGTTATTCCCTCATCAGAAATATGCCTGGTGTTGCCTTGACTCTTGCATGCATGTTTGAGGAATCCAGTAATCTCCTCCTGTAAGAGGATCTCTTCAGCCTCCCTCGAGTTTGTATAGCAGGAAACACACAAATGGAGTTTCATCCTAGTTGTTTCACTAGTTGTCTTGGTTTCACCAGGACAACGAGCCAGCATGTGCCGAGTGGAAGGCAGCCATCATTATTTATAAATACACACAGTTTTCCCTACCGTGGGAAACAAATGGGCAAAAATATAATTGTTCTGCGTTTTTTTTTAGATTTGCAGTAGCCTAGATTTTGACATTTACAATATACAATACATCCATTTAATACTGTTAAGCATCACTTAATATTGCAGTTTGCTAGGGTGCTGCAAATTGCCTCCACAGATAACAATCTTTATGTAGACACAACCCATAGAGATTGCTTTATCTGAAAATAAGCGAGCACTTGGGAGGTTTCCATCTGCAGACCAGCATCCTGAGATGTATGGCAAGAGAAAGGAGGCAGGCTGAGGACCAGCGAGTGTCAAGATCCCTGAATACATTAGGAAGATGCCTCACTGTAACGAACTGCTAAGTGAATGTCTAGAAACTTAAAGTTTTAAGCACCAACAGGTTGAGTAAGAGTTAAAGAAAGTTTCATGAATGGCTACAGGGGGCTGGACTGGAGGAGGATGCAGAGGCACTAATGTGAGGCAGGACAGGAACAGTAGAGGTCAGGACCTGCCACACCACTCTGGACTCGAGATGCAGGCTGTATAAAAATGAATAATCCAGCATATAACAGCTGGGTGTAAAACACTGGTAGCCAAGCCTCTGTAACCGGTATTATACAGGTTGAGCGCAGCCTGGAGGCTCAGAGAGGAACTACAGAGGTTGTGAGATTGGAGGCCTCAGCGATGTGAGTGTTTATTGGTGCATTTGGCCCTTTGACCCCAAGGCTGGAGGAGTTGGTGCAGCTGATTCCAGTAACAACCTCTGAGACCTCCAGCAGAGAACGGAGGTCTCTCCCTCAGGCTTCCACAAGGCTGAAGTGGAGCCGCCATGTTGGATGTGGCGAATTAGGAGTTACTACAAATATATATTAAGAAGATTGACGTATTACACCAGAATATTGTTCTTTACTGTTAGGTCAAAAGAAAGCTGACATACTCATTCATGCTTCTTTTTTGTTGCTGTGTTATATAATATTTTTGTGGCTCATACAAAAACTAAACTCCACAGCTAGAAACTATTTGATGGAAACTAGGTTTTCCACAACAACAACAAAAAAGAAATGGAGCAAAAACTTCTTTTGTGAGCTGTATGTAGACCAAGTAGAGATTTAATATGTGCATGGAAACGATTTTGAAATGATGCTGACAACATCTGACAGAGACGTGCCGTAACAGTGGGAGTAATGGACCTCCAGAGTAGCAACTCTGCAGGCGGTTTCCGCATTCACACTGTAGGATATTACAAGAGATGTAGAAAAGCTGTTCATGAAGTAGGACAACTCTGCTGGGGCAAATAAAAATGGATGAGGAGCAAATGCAGCAGGAAGCGATGGTGACATACACGAGGATTAGTAGGTGGAGGGAGACTGGAGTTACAGAGAGGAGCTCGAAAACAAGAAGCTAAACTATTATGACGCACCTTAAGGTCATTTAAACATCCTGACAGACTGATTTTAAGAGAAAAAAATATCTTTATTCAACAGAAGTTTGGATAAATTTACCATTGGCCTGAATGTTATATTGTGGTTTTTATAGATTTATTTGAATCAACACAACTTTTTGTGGATTCCTGCATCAACATAGTCAAAATTACTCAATACTTACAAAAATATGCCTCACTGAGTTGCAGACGTTTCCCACATAATTCTGGCAGCTTTTTTTTTTTTTTTCCCCAGAATCGGAAAAGTTCATTTTAATTTATTGGCTGTAAATATCAACATGTCTTCTGAAGGCCTGAGCTCAGAGCCATTCATAAAGCTTAACGTTGGGGAGCTTCCCTCCAGCTCCAAACCGGTTTGGATCAGCCTCAGACCCAAACCGCCATCCTCAGCCTGAGACTGGAGGAAATTGGATCTGATTTTGAGGGACAACCATGAAACTACCAAGGTTTCAAATGACTATGAATTGAAAACGGCCAATGTCAAAACCCAGAGTAAAATTAGTTTTACATCATCTTAGACTGAAAGGATTCTGGCCATGAAAGGAAACCTTTTCATCTAACTTTACTGGTGTTTCCAAAGGCCTTCTGGACCAGATAAGTTAAATTATTTGACCTTGAAGACAAGAATGATCTTTGGAGGAGTCCAGTTGAAGCTTTCACAGAAGAATCACTTCACCACATGTTGAGCCCGGTGATTTATGGCAGATGTGTTTCTATGGCAACGCCTATAGGAATACCACTTGTGTTTAACCTGAGTTTGAACTCAGTGAACTGCTGGATCGGAGGCCGACTGAAGCAGAAAGTTACATCATAACAACAATAAATAAATAAATTCAGATATTGCACAGTCGATATGTTGGAGTTCTCTACTTGCTTCGTCTTTATTACAAGACAAGATGTATAAAATTATTGGTTCACTCATGTAAGAAGTCATATGAGAGAAATGGCTGTTAGTCAAATCATTCGTGGAGAGTTTTTTTTTGTTTGTTTGTTTTTGCAGCTAAATATTTGTCTTAAACATGTAAATGACAGAATAAAACCTCTTATCGCACCAAATTCTTGCTCTGCCACGTCGGTTTCTTTCACAGTGAATGTTGGCTGCTTTGAAATTTTTGGTTTCTGCAAGAGTGATGAGACAATTTGAAGATTTTTGTTAAGCAAACGATAAATTTCCCTTTGCATGTGATGTCAAAGAAGTTACACCACTTTAACATGACTGTAGCTTATTTGTGTGTTTGGTTTGTTTTTTCCACTTAGCTGGAAGAAACACTACAAATGAGGAGCTGGAGAGCATGTTGGAGAGTGACAACCCTGCCATCTTTACCTCCGGGGTAAGCGACTCTATAGCCATGTTTTAAAAAAAGTATTTTGTTCTTTCTTGCTGTTATTTTCACGTCTCTTTTAATCCTCAGATAATAATGGATAACATCACCCAACAAGCAATGAATGAGATCGAGACGCGGCACAACGAGATCATCAAGCTGGAAAACAGCATCAGGGAACTTCATGACATGTTCATGGATATGGCCATGTTGGTGGAGAGCCAGGTGAAAACCACACTCCTTCTCTCTGTGTGTCTCTGTCCAGCTGTCCAGAGACGAGCTTTCAAAAGGTTTTTCCTCATTTAGATTCTTTATTCATGTTCAGGAAGCTGCAGGTTTTAATTTGCAGACAATAAGTTCAGTGGTAGCCCGATTTCCATTTCCAACAGGTTCTCCATGCTGTGTATCTTAGTAAATGTATTATTTTGGGTCAGATCAGTTTTGGTTCAAGGCCTTTATTTATTCATTTTTAAAGTTGCTTGGATTTCTGGAGACAGGCTTTATCTGTGTAACTGCTGCATTAAAAAAAAGAAAAAAAGCACACTGTCTTCTTAACTGTTGAAGAAATATAAAGCTTTTCAGACTTTTACTTTTTATATTATCAAGGTAGAAGCATGGATAACATTACTCGGTTACAAATGCTGTCTTGTACAAACTGAGTGATTCTGGGGATCGTTCAGATGCTAATCCAGAGACGTAATTCCTTAATTCCTTGCACACACACATCAGTAATCCTTCGGTGCAGAGTTGTGTCTGCTGTCAGAGAACTTCAGTCCTGCTGCTGCTGCCATGTCTGACTGCAGGAGTGTGGGCTGAACTCCCCACAGAGAAAACCCACATCAGCAAATAACATGGAGGATTAATGACAAATGAAACGCATCAACATCTATTTAGATTTCTTGATGCCATTATTAGAACAAATATAGACAAGTGAAATCGAACATGATGGCAAAAATGCATTTACACCTACATGTGTCACAAGCTTTCTTATCTGAATGGCCGAACCTCTTTAATAAAAATGAAACGAGAAAAAAAACAACAAGGTGATGATGTTAAACATTTCCATAAATTAGAACAAAACAGACAATAGCTGCGGTTTTTATTACAATTGTGTACAAAATTGTAACGCTGTTTCCATAAAAAATTTAAATAAAAAAATCTGTATAACATTCCCCTTATATTGCAACGTTTTAGACATTTCACCTCATGCATTGTTTACCACTGAATTTCCGTCACCCCCAGAAATCTGGTTTTATGCACTTTTAGTTGCAGCCTCACTTATCACACATGTTCTGCTGTTTTACTGGAATATATCTGTTTTAAAGCATTAGTTCCCTTCCCACTGCTTTACATCTTTACCGGAATAAATAACGAAGTCATTTGATTGGTTATGTCACTTAAACATAATACTAACTTTTGTTCCTAACACAGAACCTTGTGGTACCCCAAAAGTTCAACCTTTAGTCAAAATGCATTATATCTACACACCAATATCTATTAATTGTTTCTCCAATTCTCTAAGAATTGTTTCTCCAACCATACGCCTTCCATCTAATATCAAATCTCTACAAAATTTTCTTCACCATCAAGAGGTTTTTTTTAAAGACATGCTGCTTACAGTTTAATTCCCTATCACTTTTGTAATTTCTCTGTCGTCTATGAGCTGCGGTTCTTCCATCGATGTAAACTCTAAACAAACACTAAAAGTTAGTCATTAAGCTGCGTTTGAAATACGAACGGAGGTAATGTCTCCTGAAAGTCGCATCACCTCCTGTGTCAGTAAATTGCCGTAACAAAATAAGGACAACTGTTTTAATTGAAGGTAATTGTGTGCTTGTGTATTAATATCCGAATTTTAATGTACTTTCCTCATGGTATGAGATCACGCTCAGATGAAAATGTAATTTTACCGTTTCAGCATTGCTCTGTTTCTGTCTCTCTATCTGCTTTCTCCTCTTTGTGTTCGCACAACCCTGTCACCACTGCAATGACTCTAAGCTCTAGACAACACAGAAAGCTCCTTCCAATAACACAAGGTAATAAAAGTCTGTTTATAATTTTATTATGTTGCAAATGAAATCTTTGTTTGTTTGTTTTTTTGCATGCATGCTGTGCAGACTGGCTTTGAATTGGACTTTGTAATTGTTTTATGATCACAAATTTACAATAATTATGTTTTGTTGTTGCAATGGGGAGCCGCTTTCACTTTGGTGGAAACCTATTTATGTCTGAATCACAGTTAAGAATAGTCAAATCTTGGACTTAAATCTAAATTATTTGTGTGTATTTCTTTAAAGCTGAAATCGGGTTTGTTGCTTACTGGGAACAGAGTTGGAAATATTTCAAAGAGCAACGAAAACGTCCCATGAAGATGATGTTGTGCTCCGGTGGCTTGAAATGTCAGCTGAACTTATCAAAGGGATTATTGGTTTTGAATTTCCCTCCAGTCTTGTGGATAATAAGTGTCTTGCCTGAAAATTAGACAAACTTCAATAAACCAGATATTTTCTTATTGTGCTATTTTCACACAAAAGATGCTGATTAGTGATAAACAGAGAACGATGTGACCGTGTGGTGGAAGAGGAGTGAAGCGCTTTGGAAAATACAAGCTGTGGGTGTTTCAGGAAAACAGGGCTGGGAACCGCTGATCTATGTGATGCATTTCTGCTTTTTCACCAACGCGCTCTCTGCCTTCTCGTTCTGTGTGCAGGGCGAACTGGTGAACAACGTCGAGCGGAGCGTTCTGGGTGCTCAGGAATATGTGGAGGAAGCAAAGGAGCGCATCCCGAAATGCAAAAAGTTCAAAAAGACCAACAGACGGGTGACATACTTATCTCCTTTTCTTTCTCCTTCTCCTTCCCTTCATCTCCTCTCTCTTCCTACATCCACTCCTCCTGCTCCTGCCCACACACCTGGCCCCTTCCTTCTGCTTCCTGTCCATCTCCCACACCTCCTCCCTCTCACTAACTTTTCTAGGGGGAAATGATAGACCGCATAGAGTACAATGTGGATCACTCGGTAGACTATGTGGAGAGGGCGGTATCAGACACTAAGAAGGCGGTTAAGTACCAGAGTAAAGCCCGGAGGGTGAGTGTCTGTGACGAGCGCGCATGCGCAGCAAAACGCTGCTTCAGAAGCATTGCATGCCCCCAGTGGAGTGGTGTGCTGGCTGTGGTCTGTGTGCATGGATGTTTACCTGTTGTACAGTTTGCATGCAAAGCGTCTGAGTGTTGGGATTGGATTGAATTGTGGCACTGACTGGAAGACGAGGCTGTGTTGACCTCTGGTGGTACCAACTCACTCAGGATAGTCCATCTCTACAGGCGCCTTTGGATTTTTGTCTTAAGTATCAGATCCAGTGAATTACGGAGCTCAGAGATAACCACAAATTTAGGCTCTGCCTCTAAATCAAATAATGACCTCAGAGATCTTAATTACAGAAACAAAAGTGCAGGAAGTGTCTCATCTCTCATTCTTCTCATGATTCTTTTGATTTTTTTTTTCTTTTTGCACTTCAGTGTGATTGCCTTCTAAATCCAACTTCATCTGTTTTATGTCAACATTTACACATAAATCAATCTGCTGTAGCAACTGATAGAGCAACAAAGTTATACTTGCGTATTAAAGTCTGTCATTTTGTTAAAAATCGATGAGTCAAAGTTTCAGTTTCCAACTGTAATCCATCTGAAAGAGTTATTCTTCATCAAGCGGCTCTAACTGGACACTTTTCCAGGGAGGAGTTTAATTTGTATATTACAAAAAATATAATTATTACATCAGAACTAGCCACTTATTTAATCAATTATTAACTTCTTAGTGATCACAATAATATATTTTAAGTGTTAATGAAGGAAATAAACTTTTACATTTCTATGGTAAAAAAATAAAAAATAAAGTTCTGCTAATTACTCTCTTTTTATTTTACCCAACTAGATTTTTTTTTAAATGTCCTTGAGAAAAAGAAACGATTTTTGACCCTATTGGACGTGCATTTTATTGGAAAATAAAATGCAAAACACGGCCTGAGTTGTGTTTTGCTGATTTCTCATTGAACTGGACCAAATCTGTTGACCCATTGGTTCTTAGCGCCCTTCCGCTCAGCTTCCCTCCCAGGCCATCTCTCTCTGCTTAACCCGAAGGCCCGTTTTGTGGAAGAGAGTTTGAGCTTGAATTATGTTGCCAAGGTCGTTGGATGGTTTCCCATCTTTCATCCAAACAAAGTCAAATTGAGCTTCTTTTAACACATGAGGAAGGAGAACTTCTGAAAGAAAATGGAACCATTCTGCCCCCTGCTGGTTAAAAATAGCACTAATCCGCTCCTTCTTTCTCTCCTTTTTTCTTACTTTCTTCTGTTGTTCCTTTTTCTTTCTCTATTTATTTCTTTCTTGCTTGCTTGTCCCGGCGACCCTTTATTTGACACGTTGCTCTCCCTGTCCCCCATCCAGAAAATGATCCTGATAGGTGGTTGTGTCGCAGTGTGTGTCTTCATCCTCATTATTTCTCTTGCTGTCGGCCTCAGTTAGGACCCCGATACAACCGTTTGCTGCTCTAGAAGTGGCTCAATCATTTAGTGTCACCATTGGAAACGAGCACTCAAACTGTGTGGGACTAATTAATATTGTCTAACTGTGTTATTTTATATTGCTCTTGCACATGTTGTGTTTTTTTTTTATTTTGCATGTTTTCTGAAAATTATAAAATGTTGCGTACTTCTCAAAATTTAGCAATTATTCTAATTATCATATGTGTCTCTGAATAGTTCATGGACAGCCAATCTTTTTCAAAACTTGTGGTTGCAAAGTTTTGAATAAGCACCATAAAAAAAAACTTTTTCAAAGGTGATAAAATCTAGTAAAACTATTTTAAGTTTCAGCAAACTCACACCGATGTGACATCTTTCCACTTCAGGTAGAGAAACTATTACCAGCTTAACCCTTTAACTGCTCTAGTGTAACATTGATGTGTGTCTCACCACAATAAAATATTATTTTTTCTTCCTAAAATGTCATTTCAAGCTGTCACAACAAGCAGTGGTTAAAAAAATCTGTAGTTCATTTGGCTCAGAGAAAAATCACATATTTAATTTAATGAAGTAATTTCCAGACATTTCCTACTTATGTAATTAGTAAAAAAAAAAATACAGTGAAATAACAACTTTTCATATCTGAGAAAATTCCCAAAGCGAACACTCGTCAACAGTCTGGTTGCCGACTTCTCCAGAGCCGTCCGTCTCCGCTGGGATGGCAAATGTTTTCTGTCCTTATCCCTCTGCCCCGAGTTGAAGCCAAGATTCAGGTTTTTATAATCACACAAAAAGTGCAGAGAGACGAAGCGCGTCGTGCTCACTCTATCATTTTCTGTGTTTCCATTAGCAGCCATACATCTGTTTCACATTTTCACATTTGAAGTGTCACAAAAGCAATCCATTTAGTTTTTAAATATAAAGCCACACTCTGCTGTCACTTAGGCTGCGCCATTGTCCATATATGGTAATGGTATTTCCCTTTAGAGAGGCTCAACTCCATTGGATGACTTTGTGTCAGGAAATCTTTCCTGATACAAGATCAGAAAAGACAGGAAATTAGCTTTTTCCTGAGGAAGTCTCGGGGGGGGGGGGGGGGGGAAAAAAAAGGTTTTTTTTTTCTTTGGGAAAAGAATTAAAGACCCATTTAAAA